TTAAGTTTGTTTTATATTTAAACTAAGCCTCTATGTTTTAATATCTAATAAAATTAATAAGTATTTAAAATTTAACTAAATATTTTTTTAAATAAACCAATTGATAATCGAACTAAAAAATTTAGTCGTTGTTTTTCGTTAAAATCACTGTTTAAAAAATAGTTATTATTAAATAATAGAAAAAAAATATTTAAAAAAAATTAAAATGAACTATTGAGAATCGAACTATAAAAGTTTGGTAAGAATTTTTGTTTAAACTCTTACTCAAGCTTTTGTCAATTATAATTAACATAAAATATTTATTTCAAAATTAAAAAAAAATAAACTTTAAATACTCAAACTAAAAAAGTTTAGTCATATTTTTATTTAAACTATATGTCGTAATATCTAAAAAATTAATTATGGTATGTTGTAATTAGTTTAAATTCTTAATTTAGAAATAACGATAAATATTTTAATAAAGTTTATTTTAAAAATATTTCAAAACCATAACTTCTTATGATAAATAGAGAGAGTAAATATAAGAATGAGTATATAATGTAGATGATGAATTAAAGTCAGTGAGTTTGTCATGCCCTTCGGCTAGACTATATTTAATCTAGTGCTTTGTATTATTTAAAAAAATTGTCTTTTGTGAACCATAATTTATTTATTAAATTTTTTTTATAGTTTTCAAAAAAAGTGTTTCAAATTATATTTTTTTAATAATCATACTAAAATTTAACATCATTTTTATTGGGTGTACTGGGTACAACTAAGTTTTTTAAAAAATTAAAAAATCGAATTAATACTACTGATGTTTCGAAATAAATAAAATTTTTCTTAATTTAAAATAAGTAAAAATATTTATACTTAAAATTAATAATTATTAAAAATTGACCTCTAAAAATTCAATCACATTTTTTGTTTAAACTACGACTCAATTTTTTTATTAATACTCAAATAAAAATATTTTTTTACCTGAACTATATATTCAATCTTTAGAAGGATTAAGTTTATTTAAAAAAAGATTAAACTGTCAAATAGATCTAATAAGATTGTTAAATAAATTTTTAATTAAACCACATGATAATAAAATGATTAACAAAGAATTGTTGCATCCAGATAGTTTTAATGAAAAGGATATTAAGATCGATGGCAGCCTGAAGAGTAGCGAATAATATATAAAAAACATGGTGTTGTACTCTATACAGTAAGTGGTCTATGTAAAAATATTCGTTGTATGGTACAAGTACTGTTAACGTGATAAATACTTTAAAAAGTTGTTTGTTTTAACCAACGTTTATTAAAGTTGTTTTCTTTAAATATTTTAAAAGAAGGGAATTGTCAAATTATTAAATGATTAGTTTATAAATCAATCCGAGCGACTTGAAATTTTACACTTGAGTTAAGAGAGAGTTTGAGGTAGAATTTACTTACTAACGAATATAATTAATTTTGAACATTTTTTTAATAAATTTATCAAGAATCGAACTTTAAAATTTAAGCAGGGTTTTTTATTCGAAACGTGCTCTAATTTTGTTAATCTTTAGTAAGATAAAATATTTATCTCGACATTTCGTCAACGTGCGCATTATCTAAGTTAGTTTTAACAAATTTTTTGTATTTAGTTTATTTTAGTTCATTCATTACTGGTTTGAAACGTTTTGTTAATAAAAACTATAACAATTTGATTAAAGTAAAACTTCCCATTTGAATATGTAATTCGATTAGTGTAACTTCCATCATAATTTTAATTAAAATATAAAAAATAAACTAATAAAGTGTAAATATTTGCTTTATTTCTATTTCAAAATCGAACCGAATTTTTGTTCGATTCTAGCTGTGTTTCAATAGTTATTCTCAACGCTGTATCTTTTATTCTGGTATTTCTTATGCGTTATCATATCTAAAAAGGTTAATGATTAAGTAAATTTAACATTTTTATTAAATATTAGTAGTTTACTATCCTTTTTTTAGATTTAAATGGAAAAATTCTTTAAAAAGTTATCATGAACAAAACTTAGAATTTAACTACAATAGTTTATAGAATTTAAAGCATTTATATAACCATAGTTTACCTATTATGACATACGTCATTTATGATTACAAGTAATTTATTAAAAATAAAGGTTTATAATAAATTTATTGAGAATACTTTATTTCTTTTAAAATTCATTTATATAACAGTTCTAACTACAAACATTACTAATCTTGCTTTAAAAAAATGAAACTAAGTTTCTTTTTAAACTACAAATCAATTTTTCTGTTAATAATAAAATAATTTTTATAATTAAAAATAAATTAATCGAAATTTGAACTAATAAAAATTGAGTGCAATTTTTTCTTTGAATAGTCACTCAATCCTTCATATTTAATAATAAAATAAAATAAAAATATTTAAATTTATTAAAAAAAATAATTTATAAAATTCAATTGCAGCTTTTGTTTAAACCACTACTTAATTATTCTGTTAATAATAAAGTATTTATACAAAATTAATCTTTTTGAGATTGAACTAATAAAAACTAATTATGGTTTTTTATTAAAACCATAACATAATCTTACTTTAATATAAAATGATAATAAATTTATATTTAATGTCATAACTCTATTACTTATCATTAGAAATAAATTTATTTATCTTTATAATTATCTCTATTCATAATTTAATGGAGATAAATTTTTTTATCTAAGTTTCCTTAATTTCTCATCATCTATATCATCAAAAGATAAAATTTTTTATTGATATTTTAAAACCAGTTTACAACAATTATTTAATAAAATTAAAATTAACTTTAACAAGAATCGAACATTAAAAATTAATCTCTTTCTTTTACTAAACAGGAGATTAATCATTGGATATTTGTTAAAATAATAACTAAAATAACTTACATCACAAATTAAACCTAATAAAAATAAACTAAAAATTGATCTAAATTTAAATCGATAATAAACTGACATAAAATAAACGAAAGTAAATCAATTTCTTAAAAAATTCAATTTGTTAAAATATCAATAATTAACATAATTTGTTTGTTAATATTAAAAGTTATATGAGAGAATGTTAAATTTATAACTTCAAAAAACTTTTTACTATCCCTGTAGTTATATAACACTACAAGTTTTAACAAAATCATTTTATTTCTTTTTAATAAAATAATAAAAAAATTAAACTTAAATATTAGAAAATAAAATCATTGAGAATCGAACTTTATAAAATTGAGTATTGCTTGAAAATACAGTTACTCAATTTCAACAATATTTATAATTAAAATAAAATATTTAGAGTTAACGAAAATATTTTGAAGAATTAGAAAGAATCGAACCTTGAAAAATTGAATTTGTTTTTACTAAACAAACATCCAATTTTCCGATTATTTATAATAAAAGTAAAATATTTAAAACAATAATATAATAATACTCAAATAAACTGTTTATTAAAAGCATTTTCATTAATATTTGTTTTAAAATATCTTATAATTAAGTTTCAAAAATTTTTTAATATTTATTAAGATCTAGATCACGTTTAAATAATAATATAACGTATCAAATATGTTTATATTATACTCTAATTACCAATTAAATCATTCGTTTTTATTTATATTACTTTTCTTAACTTTCATAATTGACATATACAGCTGAACTATTAAAAAAATTTATCATAAAACGGATTTTTTTAATAATAAAAGATGATTTCAAACCATTCATTAGTAGTGTAATTATAAATGTAAAGAAAAATGTAGATCATCATATGATAGTTGTAGTTAAATGTCGAAATCGATAGTAAATGAACAACCAACCTTATTTAATCTATCATCTATGATCTCTTTTTCATTTTTTTGGCTTTTTTCTCATCATCTTTTAAGCCTTTTTTAACATTATCTCTATCATCTTCTTTTCTGTTAATACTCATGTGTAAAATCCTATAAAGGAAATATATATAAAACTCGTGAGAAAATTATATGTATAGAAAATTACATCTCGTAGATCTAATAACCTCAATTATTACAATATTATGTAACTGTTTACAGAAGTTTCTGTTATCAAAATTGAATTTTTTACTAATAAATAAAACCATTTTTACCGCTCAATTTTTAATATATTTATAATTAAACAAAACGATTTATTAAAAGACACAGATAATATACAAGAACAATCATTAGAAAATGAATTACAAAGTTGGCAAAAAGTTAACAAAGAACTAAAATAGAATCATGTCAATAACAATAAAATACTTTTCTATGAAAAAATTTTATTTAAAAGTTTAAAAGGTTTTCTTAAAATCTTTAATATCAAAAAAGAATCTCTAACATTAAATAAAACGTTGTATTACGAAATATTTAAAGTTAAATTTTCAAAAGAAAACAGAGAATTAAACATTAAAAACATGGAAATTATTATTTAAACTAGTTTTAATATTTAATTTAATCATAAAGTATTTAAAGTTAAAAAATGATCTAAATAAGAATCGAACATTAAAAAAATAATGAAATTTTTTGTTTAAACTACAACACATTCTTTTTGATAGAAGTAAATTAAAATAAATGAGAATCTAACATGCATAATTTACAGTAATATTCCATTTAAAATACTAGTTTAATCTTTATTGTTTATTATAATGAATTATAAAAATTTAATTTTAAAAAATATTAATTGAGAATCGAACATTATAAAACAAATATACGTTTTTTTAAACGAATATTCGTCTTCTCTCGTTATAATAATATTTAAATTAAAACTAAATTTTAATATTAAAAATATAAAAAAAATGAAGTAAAAAAGAATCAATCTTTATAAAATTAATGCTTTGATTTTTTTAATCAAAGACTCAATTTCGACATTAAAGTTAATATTAAATTAAATATAAATATTCAAATAAAAATTTTTAAAAAAATGAACTAAATAAGAATCGAACCTTATAAATTAGTCTCTGTTTTTGTTTAAACAAAGATTTAATTGACAGATTAATATTTTAATAAAATAAAACATAAATATTAAAAATGAATTTATAGAGATTTGACTAATAAAAATAGAGATTGGTTTTTGTCTTTACTAAGACTCAACATTGAATAATAATATTTATTGAGAACATAACTTTAAATATAAATAAATTAGTTTTATATTGTGGTGGTTGTTACCACCTTGCATGCTTACGTAATTGTTTAAAATCGATCTT